GTTTATTTTGTTCGCTATATGAAACCAAACGGTTGAACTTACAAATTTTAAAACAACCAGTTTTTTACAAGAAATTTAATGGTGCTATTTATTTTGTATTTAGTGTAGTATTTAATGACGAAATTGACAATTAATTATTATTGCGCCATTTTTTTGTTGTATATATATTTTTTTGTAATAAACATAAGCACGTTTTGCACATTGAAAGCGTTATGGCGGGAGGCACTCAGATCACCTTGCTGTAAATTCAGTATTTCCAAAAACAGTTTTCTTTAAATAGTGCTAAGTAGTTTCATAACTGATTTAGTAACTTTGTAGATTGCAAATTATTGTTTAGTGACACAGGTGATTATACCACCCAAGAAACGCCCTTTCTATGGAAAGTCTTCTGCCGCTAAAAGAATGCAAGCACAAAGAGCAGCTGAAACAGAAGAAGAACGCTATCAAAGACTTCAAGTACAAGCTGCAAGACAGGCTGCTCAAATACAGGAAGAGACTTAGGAACAACGTAAAGTTAGACTTCGAGCTCAAGCTGAAAGGCAGGCTACTCAAAGACAGCAAGAAACTGTTGAACAGCACAAAGCCATATTTCAGTTTAACTCGAGAAGGCAAGCTGATATAGACAACAAGAAACTTCTGAACAACGTCAACCCAGACTTCATGCACAAAAATGAAGACAAATAATTTACAGAGAGCATGAAACAGAGGAGCAGCTTGATGTACGACTTCAGGCTCAAAGAACAAGACAAGCTCAAACACGATCCAATTTCAAATAAAGCTTTGTTTGATTAAATGCTTTTTTATTTCTCGCATCACAGCTTTTGTCTACTTACTGAATAATTTGTTGAAAAAATACTGATCTATTTCATTTCTTTTTTTAGTAAAAAAACAACAACACAGTCATTGACATTGATGATTATTTTCTAGTGATTAGAGATGGGACAAGTAACGTATAATCTTAGTTTGTTGTTGGCCAAGCAAAGAAGTTATCGAAATTGGTCAATAAAACTTTAAAATTCTCTCTGTAGATGGCAGTAACTGCATAATATACAAAGACTATTCCTACTTTATATAACAATCATAGTTAAGAAATACTTCTATTACTCTTGAATTAGCATCATGGCTAATTAATATTTCATTGATATAGACAAGGTATGAAATCTGTCAGCCAATCAAAGAAACAAAAGAAATTCTGTCAAGCTATTTTGAAAATATTGAAATTAATGACTAGTCTCGACTCTTTGTAGAAAGGGAGATTTGAACAAAGACATCTTAATTGGTTATATCATTTATTTCTTGATCAAGATTCTAAACCAAATGAAACTTCATACGTACGACTACTTCTTACTTGTATCCACATGACTGATGGATTTACTGTAAATAAATATGGGTTAAAATCATGCTACATAACAGGCCAGAACTGACAGAGCAAGAGATATATCAAAGGGGCTACCAGAGATGCAGTTTTTGTAGTGCATGTAGGGGCTAATGATGTAGAGAAAGGTAGGTCAGAGGAGCTAATTAATAAGTATAAGGGGTTGATAAAGGCACTTAAAGAAAACGGCCATTACTTAATTTTGGCAGGGATACTGC